ACGTGCACTACCCACGTTTCCATATTAATGCCGGAGTGGCTGTCGTTTTCTGTGTCAGACTCTTGGTGGTTTTGTGGTTGTGCATACTTGTTTCCTTCTGGGACGATGTGAGCGAAAGTCTCTTCACCCCACATAGCACACCTATACACACACCAATGACAGATGGAAGTGTGATGCCGCCAAAGCCCAGCCAGCCAGACCAATGAGTGAGGGGTACTGACAGACAGACCAATGAGTGAGGGGCACTTACAGACAGACCAATGAGTGAGGGGTCTCTGACAGAGCAGGAAGGAGGGGTTACTTGAGGTGCATGGGGGGGGGGATCGCAGCTGCATCAGTACAAGGTTGCACCCTATTGTAGATGATGCCCGGATGGGAGCTGCACTGTGGAGCCCCATGGAGCCCCATTTCCATTCAGTCAGCTATCCTATGTGCTCTAGAATCTTCCAGGATCACACTTGACACTGAGCGAGAGCAGGACGTAATGGCCGCCGTCCCAGCAGACGGGCCTGTGACCCTCCTTGGACCCCTTCTACCAGCCAAAGAACCTCTGCGCCAGAATACGTCCAGAGGAAGAGTGTCCTGGCAGTGTCCTTGACGGTAGCACCAGTTTTACAGACAGGCACTCCAACTGGAGTAGCACGCCTTTAATACTGGCACTCTGGGAGGCAGAAGCAGGCCATTCTCTGTGAATCTGAACTAGCCACGATACACATAGAGAGTCCCAGGCCAGCCAGGGCTCATAGGAAAACATTGTCTCAGAACAGAAAAGAAGTGGTGACTTTCCTTTTTAATTTTTGAGGTGTGTGTGTGTGTGTGTCACTAATTCTGCTCTGCTGGCCAGAAACTCAAGAGATCTTTCTGCCTCTGCTTTGGGAGCGCTGGGATTAAATTCGCCATCACACCTGGACGGAGAATGACGAAGTTTCTCAGGTTACCTCAGACTGCTTCCAGGGAGAGTCGCTTTAATTATTACTATTGTTTGCTATTTTCCCCGTTGTCTTAGATTTTATGTGTGCGTGGAAGAGGGGAGGATCCACTTTTTAAACCACCGTCAGTGATATGACGGTGTGCACGGTGTGGTCTATCCCAGCACTCAGGAAGCAGAAGCAGGAGGATCTCCAACTTGGAGGGCAGCCTGGGCTACAGAGTGAGTTCCAGGACAGCCAGGGCTACTCAGAGAAACCCTGTCTCAAAAAACAAACAAAATTTGTGAATAAATAATCAGGCTGTAGGAAAACCTCTAAGGCGTTTACTTCCTTAATGATGATGTTAGCGGGCCCAGTCTATTGTGGGTGGGGCCATCCCTGGGCCGGTAGTTCTGGGTTCTATAAGAAAGCAGATAAGCAAGCCATGTGAAGCAAGTCAGTAAGCAATACCACTTGATGGCCTCTGCATCAGCTCCTGCCTCCAGGTTCCTGTTCTGTTTGAGTTCCTATCCTGACTTTCTTTGAAGATGGACAGAGATACGGGACTATGAACCAGATAAGCCCTTCCCTCCCCAGCTTGCTTTTGGTTTTATCATAGTAGTAGTAACCCTAACTAAGACACCGGCTTCACTTCAGAAATGTCTTTCACTATGCAGGTATTTTTTTAAAGTTCTGATATACATTTCAACATTCCATCTCTGCCACTACAGGTGTTTCTGTACAGTCATGACTCAGGAGAGGACGTTGATGACAAAGGGCACAAAAATCCTCTTAGGGGCTGGAGAGATGGTTCAGCGATTAAAAGCCCATGCTGCTTTGGTAGAAGACAAGTCCAGTTCCAAGTACCCATGGTGGGTGGCTCACAGCTGCCTGTAACTCCAGCGCCAGGGGGTTCCGGTACCCTCATCCGGACTCTGTGGGCACCCACATTCACAGACACTCATAGACACACACAAATATATATACACACAATTAAAAAAATTAGTCTTAAAGATGGGTTTCTAAAGCAGAAGGCAAATCACGCTTATTTCTGTGGTGTGTACACACACAGGTTGACACGGACATGACAGCTGGGAGGGGGAATTAGAATAATCAAAATGCTCCTTATACCTGCACGAACTTGTCAAAGGGAAAATGTAATAAAAGTTAGGCAAAGTTGGAAAACGTAGTAACAGTAATAATGATAAATTACCTCCCTGTGTAGGAACAAGAGGAAGCAGGGCTCAGGCTTCAGTCATTGCCAATTTTTCTGCTCATTTCAAAAGCCAACTGTGTCAGTAGCATAGGAAACGGAGGGACACAATGTCACCCCCCCACACACACACATGGCCTCCCTGGGGCCTTATTTTGGCATTGGACTAGGGAGGCAGAGGCAGGCGGATCTCCATGAGTTCCAGGACAGACTGTTCTGCAAAAAGAATTCCAGGGCCGGGCGGTGGTGGCGCACGCCTTTAATCCCAGCACTCGGGAGGCCGAGGCAGGCAGATCTCTGTGAGTTCGAGGCCAGCCTGGTCTACAAGAGCTAGTTCCAGGACAGGAACCAAAAGCTACGGAGAAACCCTGTCTCGAAAAATAAAAAAAAAAAAAAAAAAAAGAATTCCAGGGCAGCCAGCGTTATTACTCAGAGAGACTGATTCACAACTGTATGTAACTCTACTCACCTTCTTCTGGCCTCTATGGGCGTAAGATAATGCATGTGGTACACAGACATACATGCTGGCAAAATATGCATACATAGAAGATAAAATAAAAATAAAAAATTTAGCAGAGCGGTGGTGGTGCACACCTTTACTCCCAGCACCCAGGAGGCAGAGGGAGGCAGATCTCTGTGAGTTCAAGGCTAACCTGGTTCTACAGAGAGAGTTCTGGGATGGCCAGTGCTACATAGAGAGACCCTGTCTCAAAACTAACAAAAAAAGAATGCCCCCATAGGCTCATAGATTTGAATACTTGGTCACCAGAGGGTGGCACTATTTCAAAAGATTAGGAGGTGTGACCTTGCTGGAGGAAGTGTGTCACTGGGGGTGGCCTTTGAGCTTTCAAAAGCCCACACCAATGGCAGAATCTCTCAGGCAGTGAATCAGGTTGTCAGCTTCCACTCCAGTACCTGCCTGCATGCCGCCATGCTTCCTGCCGTGGTGATAAGGGTTACCCTGGTCATGGTGTCGCTTCACACCAACACAACACTGACCAAAACAAAATGGAAGTCTTATAAGGTGTCAGACGGGGAAGCAAACCTCAGACATGAGAACGAAAACCCCGTGCAGATTGACTTATCAGCCTGGGTCAGACTTGGAGTCTACTGGCAGGCGGTTTATTGGCAGCGTCCTGAAAACAGTCCGATTTGGGGAAAGGTTTCCAGGCAGCAGTCGGTCCAATTCCAGGTGCACAAGGAAGCTTAAGCTGTGAATAGGTAGGGGTAGGGGCCCTTTTACAAATGAAATGCTTTTTTTTTTTTTTTTTCGAGACAGGGTTTCTCTGTAGCTTTGGAGCCTGTCCTGGAACTAAGCTCTTGTAGACCAGGCTGGCCTTGAACCCACAGAGATCCACCTGCCTCTGCCTCACGAATGCTGGGATTAGAGGTGTGTGCCATTACCGCCCAGCGAAATGTTTTCTTAAGAGTTTCTGACATCACGGCGTCTATTCCTGGCAATAAAATCCTACCTGAGCCAGGCACATCCTTAATCCCAGCCCTCCCAGTACTCTGGGAGGCAGGGCAAGATCTTTGAGTTCAAGGCCAACCTATCTGTAGCCTGAGTTCCTTAACGGCCAGGGCTACATAGAGAAACCCTGTCTTGAAAAACTACACACACAAAACCAAAACCCAACCAAACAAAAACCCTAAATGAGTTAGTTTGTGGAAGTATTTCCAGGAAAGATTAGGCCGGAGGGTTCCCTTCTCCCTTGGAAGAGGGTCACAACACAAACAAGATCTACTCTGATGTAGGTGGTACTGTCCCTAGGGCTTGAGGCAACAAAAAGTAAAAAATGAGAAAACCAGAGTTCTGGCTTTTCCCCTTCCCAACTTCCTGTTTTGCTGCGACTTGAGGAACCTCCTTGGGCCCCCTTTGCATGACTGACTGAACTTCTAAAACCACGAGGCCAAGTGAGCCCACTTCCGATGGTTATGCAAACCAGTTAATCACCTGGACACACACGAGGCTGGTGCGTGAGCTTCTGTGCCTCCCCCACCCCCACCCCCACCCCCTTTGAGATTATTTTGTCCATCCCCTAATTTGGAATTTTCCCGGGTCCTGCTGTTGTCACTTTCCTCCCTCTCTGATTCTGAGTTTTCCTTAGAAACACTTTTCACATGGCTGTCCCGGAACTCACTCTGTAGACCAGGCTGGCCTCGAACTCTGCCTGCCTCTGCCTCCTGAGAGCTGGGATTAAAGGTGTGTGCCACCACCACCCAGCCACTTCTCATCTTTAAGAGAGCCTCTCGTTGGCCTGGAGCTCACCATTAAGCTAGACTGACTTGCCAGTGAGCCCCCAAGATCCTCCGTTGTTTTCCAGATTGTTTTGGAGTTACAAGCATGTACCAACATACCCAACTTTAAAAAATTAATTATTAATCCAAGAATGGTGGCACCCTCCTTTAGTCCCAGCGTGAGAAGCAGATGCAGGCAGACGTCTACGTATTCAAGGCTAGAATGATCTACACAATGAACTCCAGGCCAGTCAGAGCTATATGGTGAGATCCTGTCTCAAACAAAACAAACAAAATGAATTAGTATTCATATTATTGAGTGTGTGTGTGTGTGTGTGTGAATGTGTATGAGCAAATGCTGTGGCTCCGGTGTGGATGTCAGAGGTGCTGCTCCGGTTCTTCCCCTGTGGGTTCTGGGACTCGAGTCCTCAAGCTTACACAGCAGCCATCTTACCTGCCAAGCTGTCTACCAGGCCGTGTAGTGCCCCCCACCCCCCCCCAGCTTCTGACGTGGGTCCCGGAGACTGAACTCAGGTCCCTGTGTGTGGCTTCGCTGACTAACCTATCTTCCCAGCTCCTTAAAACCAAACATTTTAAAATGTATTTTGCTTTTCCTGTGTGTTCTGTGTGTGTCCTGCCAGCTCCAGAACTCTGTGGCTCCTCAAGCTGTTGCTCGTGATCCTGGGACTTGCCGTTGTTCTGTTTATGTTCCGAAGTGTGCCTCTGCAAGCAGTGTTCAGCACATTCGAGCCCCAGATCCTGAAGCCTGCGCCGGGTGGCCAGGTGCTGAAGCTTCTACCTGAGAAGCACCTGAGGAACCTCTTTACCTACGATGGCATCTGGTGAGACTCTGGGTGCCCTGGCCTCTTTTGTTGTCTCCTTCGATGTCTCTTCCTAGCGTTTCCGTGGAGCCCTAGGCCTCATGGGCAGTTCTGAACAGCTGCTGATTGCCAAAGTGACTCTCAGAGACCAGGCATGGTCTGTGGGATCTGGGCTATATCCTCTACGACATCCAGAAACCATACAATCTCACGGGGAAGATGCTGCCTCTTGGTGTCTGCCCTGGTGGGACTTACTGCCAACTGAAGCCTGTGGTTCTTGGGTTGAAAGAAGCTAGATGGAGGGGGTAAATCAAGAGAGGGCCGTGGTGCACTCAGGAGAATGAGGCAGGAGGTTTGCCATGGGTTCAAGGCCAGTCTGTGCCAAATAGACAAGATCTTGTCTTAAAAGGGAGAAGGAAAAGAAGAAAGAGAGGGCAAGGGGGCTCTTCAGTCCTTCTCATCCTCCTTCCGACCTCCTTCAATCTGTCTCTGCAAGGGGTCACTGTTGGGTGGTTCCAGGGTGTAAACCCAGTTAGGACAGCCTTGTGGGAAGAGATTTTCAGGGTGAGTGTCACGCAGGATTAGGGCTAAGGTCCCTCCCTCCCATCAGCCATCCATATATACGCTTCTTTTGCTTGTTTTAGGCTCTTCCCCAAAAATCAGTGTGACTGTGATTCCGGCCAGCTGAAAAGAAAATACAATTTTCAGGGTGCCTATAACCAGAACGACCTCCCAGCTGTGAATGCCAGGAGACAGGCGGAATTTGAACACTTTCAGAGGAGGTGATGCAGGCTGTGGGGTCCCTCAGGTCTCCGGGGAGAACAAACACCCATCCCAAGTGCTTGAGGGAGTGAGGGACCCTGAGAAACAAAATTTGGACCTTGCCCTCTTGATGGGCCCCTGGGAGGAACTGTTGGGAATAAAGAGAGGAAGGCAATAGAGGGTAAAGACCTCCAAGGAAGATTTGGAGGGGTTTGTGTGCATAAAACATTTCAGTAAAACCAACAGAGAAAAAGGAACAGAGCTTGCTCCACCTTGTTCAGTCATGGTGGTGGCACTAGGTGCCCAGGCCAGCGTAGAAAGTTACTTGATAGGCTGGGAACATACTGTCTGCCAGCTCTGTGTGAAATGTGTCACTTTTTGACTTTTGACAGTACTGGGGACTGAACCTAAGGCCTCCTGTTAGCTAGGCAGGCCCTCCATGCCCCGCCCCCAGTTCTTCCCCTGTGGTGCTGGGCATCAGACCCAGATTTTTGCAGGTGCTGGCAGATGCTCTGCCAGCGAGTCACAGCCCCAGTCCCTCCTTTGCACTGATACCAGGATTGCTGGGTAAAGAGGGCATTAAAGTGAGTTCTGGTAGGCTTTTAGTGGAGGCATTTTGTATATGCTGGCATGGTCGGTACTTAACTGCCATCCTAGAGTGTGAAAAGCTGAAGCAGGAGGACTGTTAGCTGAAGCCCAGCCTAGGCTTCATGGCAGACCCGTCTCAGACCAACAAGATGGCGTTGTTTACGACAGCCCCTTTAAAAGTAACTAGAGGTTTTGGAGAAAGGCTTCTTATGCAGGGCTAGCGGGCCTTCGCTGAACGTGAACCTTGGTTCCTGCTTGCATTATCTGTGGTACTTGCTTCAGGCATAGGTAGATTCCACCTCAGGAAGCAGCCAGACAGAACTGGCCTGTCAGGGACGAAGCTGTTCTTTCATCAGGATTTACTTTTTATTACTTTGAATCATGTGTGTGTGTGTATGTGCAGGTGATGATTTCACTTGATCCTGTTGATTATGAGGGTAATTTTTAAGATGTGTTTTGCCGTACACTGACTCTCATGCTTCTGTCTCCTGAAGAAAAGGGCTGCCCCGCCCACCGCCTCTGCTGGCGCCACCCAATCTCCCGTTTGGATACCCAGTGCATGGAGTGGAGGTGATGCCCCTGCACACAGTTCTCATCCCAGGTGGGTCCATCTGCCTCCCGAGAGGCTGCAGACAGCAAAAGGTGTGTCCTTGTGCGCTTGGCACAATGCAGGAGGCTTGGTGGGACTTCATTCTGTGTGAGACTCCCTGGTTCCACAACCCGGAGTCTCTCTTTGTAGCTGTGAATTTTTCCTGTGGCTCTAAGATAATATAGAAGTTAGAATTTTGTGGGCCTCAGGGGCATCTTAGGGGATAGTTGACTTTCACAGGTTCTCTAGCATCAAGAGCATCTTGATGAACCCATCTCCAGGGAGGGTGTTCTGAAAAGAGTTTTGTCTGTTCAGATCCCTTCCAGGGCAGGCTCGGCAGGTAAAGGTGCTTGTGCCAGGGCTGCCACCTGAGGTCTGTACTTAGGATCTACATGGTAGAAAGCTGCTTCCTCGGGCACTTCTTTTCCTCCCGTGTGAGCCGTGGCGTGCATGCCCACCCCCCCAACACCCTATGCACAAAATAAAAAATTTAAAAGTGTAAAATAAAATAACAAATTTCTTTCCAAGCTCAGTGTTATGACACACACCAGTAATCACACAAAAGTCAGGAGCCAGAAATTTGAGGCTAGCCTTAGATACACATTGAGACTATTTTAACCCCATACCCCAGTACCAACCACCCAAAATTAAATGCAAATAAAGCAATAAAGACAAAGCAAAAACAAGAGCAGCCCTTCTCAGGGTCTTTATGCATCCCTCTGCTTCAGCATCACCCGATGTTTCAAAGCCAAGTACAGAGATGCCGGGAGACCGCAGGCAATCCGTGCATTTCCTCCACAGAAGTGGTGGGTGGACGCTGGGCCATCTCGTGGATTCCTCCCCTGCTGTGGGCTCTCTTGGCATCTAGAGGCAAACAATCCCCACCGTGAGCCGTGGAAAAGACCTTGTTTAGCTGGGTGACAGTGGCACCTGGGGTCCAGCAAGTCTCCATGAGCGAGACCTGAATTATCCAGAGTCACACCACTAACAGGTGAGATGAGAGTGAGTGCCCGGGACAGAAGGCATGCAGGCGCCAAATGCCAAATCCGTGGTCCAGCCTTCCAGACAGAACAAGGGGAGCGAGAAGCAGCCTCCCTGGCCCAGTGGCAGCTAAATGTTGTTGGGAACCACGCAGCCTAGTCTCGTATCTGTCCAACGGGTTTCCCCAGGGCAAGGCACCCGTGGAACCGGACTCTCAGTAGTTCACACAGCAGTGTAGGAATCTGCAGGCTCTTTTCTCTCATTATGTTGGTGATCCTTTGGGTGGTTTTTAGTTTTGTTCTGCCAGCCACACGTGCAGCTGCTGTAGTTCCCCTGGAAATTCTGTTCCTTTTCAATTATTTTCCCTTAAGATCCAGCAGGGGATTGATACTTCGTAAATCTTTTCTCTGGAACACTAACTACAACTCCCAATTCTGGAACTTTCCTGACTCAATGGCGATAGTGAGACGGGAAAAGCTTTGTCAGAGTCTGCCTTTGACAGAGAGATCGAGACTTGGGGCCCTCTTGTAGAAAAGGGAACTGTATAAAAGCGTATTTTGCAGACATGAAAGGATTGTTTGGCTTTGAATATTGTCCTTAAAGCATTGTGCCCATGTCTATTACTTTTGTAGTTTGTCATCGCAAGTGGTCGACATCAGTGCTGCGAGGGCAGGCTGTGTCCGGCTCGATGTTTAGCTAAGCCTGCAAAAATGCTGAACTCTGTGTCTAGAATAAGGTTGTACAGGGGTGGAAAGACGTATTTGGGGAAGCATAAAGGGGAACAGTGGGGCTTTCATAATGACCACAGTGTATTCCTTAATTGTGATGTATTTCTTTTTTTTTAAAGATTTTTTTATGATGTATTTATTTTATGTGCAGTGGTGTGAAGGTGTCAGATCACCCTGGAACTGGATTTTACAGTCACTTATGAGCCACCATGTGGGCACTGGGAATTGAACCCAAGTCCTCTGGAACAGCAGTCAGTGCTCTTAACCACCAAGCCATCTCTCCAGTCCTATGATGCATTTCTTAAAGTCAAAAATAGAAGCCAATAATAAAACTGTTCAAGTAACCCTGCTAAGAAAAAATCTGTTTGAGTATAAATAAAGATGGCCTGAGCTATTGGGGCCACTTGAGTGTAACCCATGTGGTGGTCAATTTTCCTTGCTCTGACGCCCCTTTCCCGCCTCAGGACTTGAACCCAAGCCGAGGCTGGACCAAGCAAAACCTCCTCCTCTGACTGACTTCTGCTCTTACCAGCCTTCCTTCCAAGCTGAAGTCACAATTACATCCTGTGAGCTAACTAATAAAGCATGCCTGGCGGGAGAGCACTGTTGACCGAGCCCAGGGCTTCAGACAAGCACAGCACCAGCGAGTTAGACCCTTAACCCTGGTCGTGTTTTTGAGTAGCCATCTAAAAATGATTTTACATTTTCGGTAACTTGTTTATTTTAAAAAATAACATCTAGCTGGGCGGTGGTGGCGCACGCCTTTAATCCCAGCATTCGGGAGGCAGAGGCAGGCGGATCTCTGAGTTCGATGCCAGCCTGGTCTACAAGAGCTAGTTCCAGGACAGGCTCCAAAGCTACAGAAAAACCCTGTCTCAAAAAAACCAGAATAATAATAATAATAACAATAATAATAATATCTATTTTATTTTTGTTTATTTTTGAGATTTTTTTAAAATTTATTTTTATTTATTTTTTTAAAAGAAAACAATCTTTTTCTCATTATACATACCAATCCAAGTTCCCATTCCCTCCGCTCCTCCTATTCCCTCCACATACCCTCCCACCCCACCCCCATCCAATCCTCAGCGTGAATAAGGTACACACATTATATCTAGGCTGATCAAGGTATCCACCCAAAGAGAATAGGTTCCCAAAAGGCCAGTACGTACATGTAGTGTTGTTTGTTTTAAAACATCTGTTATTTATGCATCTATGTGTATCTGTGTGAGTATACACGTATGTGAATACCTGTCGATGTGTATGGAGGCCAGAAGACCATGACAGGTACCCCTGTTGCTTCTGCCATTTCCTCCTTGGCAGGTTTTCTGTAGTTCATAGTTCTCTGCTAGGCTGGAAGTCAGCAAGTCCCAGCAATCCTCCTGTCTCTGCGCCCCTCAGATCTAGGATAACAGGCGTGTGTAGAATTAATATTCAGCTGGGACCTGCACTCAGGTCCTTTGATTGTGTCGCAAGCGCTCTTAACTGCTGAGCCATCTCTCCAGCCTGTTTGCTGTCTTTTTTACTTTTAATGAAATAATATTAAATGCCCTAATCCACTTGGTAGTTTCAAGGAGTAAGTGACACCCCAGAGAGTTTGGAAACCCTGGAGGGTGTCGTTTCATTATTTGTTCGTTTGTTCATTTGTTTTTCCTGTTACTCAGATAAAATATCTTGACAAACTGGATAGTGGTGGCCCACGCCTTTAGTCACAGCACCCGGGCGGCAGAGGGAGGTGGATCTCCGTGAGTTTCAGGTCAGCCTGATCTACAGAGCAAAAATCAGGACAGCCAGAGCTACACAGAGAAACCTTGTCTCAAAAAACCAACACCAAAACAAACAGACAAATATCCTTCATATACACACATGTAAACAAAATACACTTACACATATAAAATAAAAAAATCTAATTAAAAAATTAAAAATAAGTAGATATGACCCAATGAGTTTTATTAGGCTTGCTTGCATGAGTGTGGGACCAGCAGCTCACTAGCAGCTACATCACTGAAGAAACTCTCTCCCCTTCTCTAGTCATTGACTGCCGACACCTCCTCACGCATGTATGTATCATTTGCTGAAAGCATCAAATACAGATTGGAAGCAATCTTCTAAAGCAAATTCCCATCTATGGCTTTTGGTTGGTCAACAATGATGTTTGTAGTGCGGCTTGTTGTCCGGGTCAGTTGGCATCAGCTGGAGACAGTGACTCGATCCCTTACAAAACTCTGTTAAAGATGTCTGTAAAGTGTCCGTCATTCTTTCCCCATGTGATTCCCTCTGGGCTGTTCAATAACGGCAGAGTGAAGCCCTCTGTTAGGGACAGAGGCAGACACAGGGACAGACGCACGCACAGGGACGGACAGAGGATGGAAGAGGACACAGGGAGCGTGAAACAGAGACGTCCAACCTGGACTTGCTCTTGGTTAAATGACTCCAAGAGGCAGTGTTTTTATTTCTTTCCCTAATGGGACACCAACACATTGTTAGTGACTCCAAATTAATCACCAATGTGTTTAATTCATGAATCTCTACTAAAGAAATACTGTGTTTATTCAAATACCGTCAAAGCAAATTTTTTGTTAATTCTGCTGACATATTTCCTTTTCACCCTACCTGCAATACATACTCTACGCACACTGAAATCTTATACCCATTTACCAGTAACTCCCTTGTCTTAGTTTATTTCCCTGTTGCTTTGATAAAACACCCTGACAATAGCAAGTCAGTGGGGGAAAGGTTTATCTTACATAATAGTTCCAGTTTACAGACTGCCACGGTGGGGCAATCAAGGCGTCAGGAGCTTGAAGCAGGTAGTCGTCAGTAGAAGAGGGCATCAGAGGCATGCACGTTAGTTTTGGGCTTATCCATTCCCACAATCCATAATCCCCTGCCTAGGGAATGGTGCCGCCCACAGTGGGCGGGTCTGCTCCTGACCTCACACACATGCCCAGATGCCCTTCTCCCACGTGATTTGAGATTCTTGTCAGGTTGGTAATTAACTTTAGCCATCACACCTTCCCTCCCACCTCCTGGCAAGTTGTGCTTCTGTTTCTGAGAGGATGACTATTCCCAGATCCACCCAAGGGTCATTCATTGTCTCCATTGTTGCTTCCCCTTCACTAGCAAGGCCATTTGGAAGGGGCTGTTTGAAAGTTCACAGAACCCAAAGCTGAGGACGGGCACTGGAAGCCTTAGACCCATGTGGGTTTGGGACCATGTAGCCATTGCATAGCCCTGGGAATGGGAACTGTGTAGGCCAACTGTCGGATAGAAAATGACTAGGTGGGCTCTCTAGATATGCCGGGGTTGGAGGTAGAGAGGCGAACGAAGGAGTGTCAGTGCCCTCTGTGAGTGTCCTCTGTCAGTATCCTCACAGATTTATTTTTTCTTGTCTCTCCTGTGTCTTTTAGGCCTCCAGTATGAAGGGCCAGAAGCCCCGGTCTATGAGGTAAGAGTTCCCATCCCAGCAATTTTGGCACTGTCTCACAACGATGACCAATCTCAGCCTTCAGCCAGCCCCTGTCGTGTATCCACACAAATACAAAGTGGGACATGGGGGCATTGCGCAGGGGCGTTGCAGTCCCTGGAGTGGCTGCGGGGAGGGCTTCCAAAGCTACACAAAGCTCAGAAGCACCACGGTGCTTGTTTTTGCTTTAGGAGAAGGAAGCTGCTGCCTGTGTGACCTCTGGCAACAAAAGTGCGGGGTGCCCTGCTTCCCTCCCCTCAGTGTAGCTGTGGGTTGAGGACTTAGGACGGGATGTCTGATGGGTGACAGATGCAGGTGCAGAACCTGCACACGGGCCCTGGGAAATGAGGCTTGGAGTGTGTGTGCAGACGTACGTACACGAAACGTATGGAGGCCAGAGAAGCACATTGTCCTCCACTAGGGCTGTCCACCCTATTCCCTTGAGACTCTGGGAAGCTCACTGTTTTTTCGCTAGACTGTCTCGTTACCCATCTTCTGTTACTGGGGTTGCCTGACTTTTTTTATGTGGGAACTGGGCCCTCAGAATTCAGGTTCTGATACTTATGTAAGGAGTATTCTTACCCACTGTGCCTTCTCAGCTCAGCCGTGAGATCTGCATCCTCCAACCCCACAGACTGAATGGAGGGTGTGTGTGTGTGTGTGTGTGTGTGAATGAGCTGCTCTGTGTCCCCAAAGGCCTCCTCTGTCCCCCGCACATGCCCTCCCATCCTATCCCTGTCATTTTTCTCATCACTGATTGATTCTTCACGAGTGCAGTAGGGATGGAATCTGGGCCCTTACACGCGCAGGGCAAATGCTCCGCCCCTTAGCCACTCCCATTAGCCTGGTTATGGTGTGGGCGTGGCTTCATGCTTCTTAGCTTCGTGGCCTACTGACTTGCTTCTCAGAGAATTATCTGTTGATTGGCTGGAGTTTTCAGTAGGCGTGACATAACCCAGTGGGTTTCCTACAAAGATACCTGGCTATTGCAGGCAATCGGAGAAAGGAGTTGTGGGCATGGAGAGAAGCCTGCTGGCCCCCCTTTATCTTCAGGTGGAGCTAATGGGCAGAACTTGCTCCCAGGCGGGCTGCAGGTGTTAAGGAGTGTAGAAGAGCAGGAATGGCCTTAATGTGCACATGCGTGCATGTGTGTGTGTGTGTATGTGTGTGTGTGTGTGTGTGTGTGTGTTAGCCCACACCTTTAATCCCAGCACTCGGAGTTCTAGGACAGCCAAGGCTATACAGAGAAACCCTGTCTCGAAAACAAACAAACAAACAAGCCACTCTTTGGGCACCTGAGAGCTGGATTGGAAGCTAGTGCCTTCTACACCAGGGTGAGGGGGTGATGGGATTACAACAGCAGTTTCTATTAGTAACGGAACATTTTAGCCAGGTCTTGTTTGTTTGTTTTGTGCTGAGAATTGAACCTAACTGGTATTTTGTGTGTGAGTGTGCATGCACACATGCAAATAGGCACAGAGACCAGAAAAGCTGTCTGATCTCTCAGAGCTGGAGTTACAGGCTTTCGCAGAACGCCCGTCTTGTTATATGGGCGCTGGACCCCATATTTTGGTCCCCATGATTGTACAGCCGGCCCATCTCTCCAGCCCAGTGGTTTAGTTTTTAATATACTAAGTTTGAGCTGCATGCGAGCCTTCCCAGCAGGGTGTCTTGGTTAGGGTTTGTATTGCTGTGCTAAACACCACAACCAAAAGCATCCTGGGGAGAAAAGGCCTTGTTTGAGCTTATGGTTCCACATCACAGTGCATCATCACAGTCAAGGCAGGGACCGAAAGCAGGAACTTGGGAAGCAGAAGCCATGGAAGGACGCTGCTTGCTGCCTTGCTCTTTTTCTCTGTAAACTGCACGCTTTGTATTTCTTTTCGCCCCTCTTGCTCATCTTCACTGTAGGCCTGCTTAAGCGTGGTTACTAAGAACCACATGGCAGAGTCAACAATAGGCTGTCTTGAAATTTCCCCTGCAGAAGAACTTAGTACATTACATATAGACTTAGCTTCAGACAAGTTCTTAGGATGAAGGTGAAAGCAGATTTTACCAAATTATCACAAGGACGATGTCTAACCTGGTTGCTGATGTTGTTCCGCTCTGAAACCTCTTGTGCTGGGCCTCCATAGTCCACATAGCTGCCAGCATTGCTGTCTTTCAAGATCCTACTAGAATGGCCCATTAACTCTGCTTATAGCACTTAACCACTTTCCTAGTCTGATGTCCCCAAATCTCCCACATGGCTCCAAAAATATGGTCAGGTCTGTCACAGCAATATCCCATGAACATGGTACCAATTCTTAGTTTCTTTTCTGTTGCTGTTATAAAACACCATGACCAAAGCAACTTACAGAAGCTTTTTGTTTGTTTATTTTGAGACAGGGTTTCTCTGTGTATCTCTGACTATCCTGGAACTCACTCTGTAGACCAGGCTGGCCTCAAAATCAGAGAGCTGCCTCCCTCTGCCTCCCAAGTCCTAGGATTTAAGGTGTGCACCACAACTGCCCGGCTATAAAAGCTTTTTTTTTTTTTTTTTATTTTCGAGACAGGGTTTCTCCGTAGCTTTTTGGTTCCTGTCCTGGAACTAGCTCTTCTGGACCAGGCTGGCCTCGAACTCACAGAGATCCGCCTGCCTCTGCCTCCCGAGTGCTGGGATTAAAGGCGTGCGCCACCGCCGCCCGGCTTGCTATAAAAGCTTTTAATTGGGATCACGGCTCCAGAGGGTTAGAGTCCGTGATGGAGGAGAAAACATGGTGGCAGGACCGGCTGAGAGCCGCATCTCAGACCGAAGGCAAGAGGCAGAGAGCACACTGGGGAGGGAAGGAGACCTTTGAAGTCTCAGAGCCAGATTCTGTGACACACCCCCTCAGCACCGACACTCCTCCTAATCCGTCCCAAACAGTTCCAACTGAGGACCAAGTGTTCAAACATATGAGCCTCTGGGAGCCGGTCCCACTCAAACCACCACACAGGGCAAATGGAGAAGGCAGCAGGATGAGTCAGGCACAGACGTTTTGTCGTCCCCACCCCCCCCTTTTTTTTTTTTGACAAGGTCTGTCATTACCTCACTCTGACTGGTCTGGAATTCGCTCACAGACATCAGAGCCTGGGACTGAAGACCCATGCCACCAAACTGTGCTGAGATAAACATTTTGAAACCACTTGAAAATTGATGGTTTCTGTTTGATAATGAATAAAATCCTCGGGCAGGGAACTGTGCTGCAATAAGAGAAAAGGACTCAGAACCAAGTCTTGGAAAACTACTGGATGTCAGACAGAAGGGGAGGAAGAGTGACTGACAAACAGAAATCAGTAACAGCCCCCGTCTGTAGTTCCAGCTGCTAGGGAGGTAGTGGCAGGAGGCAGAGCGATCTTTAGAGCTAATTGAGACCTCAGAGGGAGGAGGAGGAGGAGGAAGAAATGACCTAGAAGAAGACTCTTGAAGAGCAGTATTCCCTAAACCCAAAGATAAAGGTGTTTGCAGGAATGAGTCCTTTAAATCCATGAATGTTCAGGTGTTAGGGGTGAGGGAGAGGGCCTTAGCTGAAGCGTTTACTCCTGTCCAGCCAGCCGTGTTCTGTGCTATCCCCCATGGGTTTCTCCACTCTTGGATGCTCTGCCCCCTGCTGGCTGTCCTGGGTACTTGTTTTTCCTGCGAATGGATTTTTCTCCATCCATGGCACTTGAGGGTTGAGACTAAGGAGTTACAGTCTGATGGGTATAAAGTTTCACTGGACAGGACGAAGAGATGGATAGAGGTAACCAACAGCTGCACAATAATATGAGTACTCAGGCAGGCGGATCTCTGTGAGTTCGAGACCAGCCTGGTCTACAAGAGCTAGTTCCAGGACAGGCTCCAAAACCACAGAGAAACCCTGTCTCGAAAAACCAAAAAAAAAAAAAAAAACAAAAATAATATGAGTACTCTTAATGCCACCCCCAGGTCACCCTGAGAGCTTCTCTGGGGACACTAAACACCCTTGCTGACGTCCCAAACAGTGTGGTGCAGGGCAGAGGCCAGAAGCAGCTGACCATTTCCACCGGTGACCGCACACTCCTGAAATTCATCCTTCAGCATGTGACGTACACCAGCACGGTGTACCAGCTCCGCAAGGTGGACATGGGTGAGAGCCTGCCTTCCGATTGCAGATATTCTCCCTGTGCACCACATTCCAAGCCTAGACACTCCCCTTCCTACTTACAGTACCCAGTAGTTCCCCCTGTTGCCACTGACCCCATGGAGGGACTTGAGAGTCATCCCTGACACTGCTCATCTCACACAGGGCAGATGCCAGGTCAGCCTCCTGTCTCCGTAGCCAGTACCTGAGGTAACGCAAAGGAGGAAAGGGTTCCTCTGGCCCCAGGTCTGGAGGCTTCCGTCCCTGGCGAGCCCTTTGGCCAGGGGTGAGGCAGCATAGTACAGCAGGGTTGTATGATAGAGAAGAGCCTCTCAGCTCACAGCTAAGAAGCGAACAGGAACAGAAGCGATGGGAAGTAGGCCCTGTCGTTACCTTAAAGGCCACAGGGGCTTCCCATCAGACCCCAGCTCCCCACAATGTCGCCACATACCTATGCTATGTGAACCAAACCTTAGCACCATCCGATTCTTTGTATATTTTGCTTTGCTTGACACATGGTCTCAGAGATCTCAGGCTAACATCAGACTCTGAACATCTGCATGCTGGGATGATAGGCATGTACCTCCAAGTAAGGTTTATGTGATGCCAGGACCGCCTGTGTGGTACACAAATTCTCTACCAACTGAGTTACAGCCCTAGTCCTGCTGTTTCTTGAGACAGGCTCTCAGGTAGCCCAGGATATCCCAAACTCTCTTATGTAGTTGTAGCTGGTTGGTCTTGAACTCCAGACCGTCTTTCCCTGTGTGTACCACCACACTAAGCTTATTTTTTGATTTTATCTGTCTATGAGGCAGTCTCAAATAATCAATTCCTCTACCTCAGCCTGCGTAATGCCAGGACCCTATGCCTGATTAGCCTTATCTAGTTCTGTTAGTCATTCTCTGCAGTTTCTATATTTATTTATTTAAATTCCATTCAGTTGTTTATTGGGGGCATGGACCATAGAGGCCATATGGAAGTCAGAGAAAGTCAGAGGACACCTTGTAGGAGCTGGGTCTCTCCTTCCAGAGTCCTAGGGAGCAAGCCCAGGTCACCAGATTTGGCACAAGCAACTTTACCTGCTGAGCATTTGTTTACTTAATTATTTATATTATTTATACAACATGTGCCTGCATGCATGCTTGCACACCAGAAGAGGGCAGCAGAGCTCATCATAGATGGCTGCTAGGAATTGAACTCAGGACCTCTGGAAGAGCAGCCAATGCTCTTCTTTTTTTGGTTTTTCGAGACAGGGTTTCTCTGTGGCTTTGGAGCCTGTCCTGGAACTAGCTCTGTAGACCAGGGTGGTCTCGAACTCACAGAGATCCGCCTGCCTCTGCCTCCCGAGTGCTGGGATTAAAGGCGTGCGCCACCATCGCCCGGCTCTCTCTGCAACTTTTGAAGCTGCCTCAGCTTCTGTCCAGGAGGCACCAGCCCAACCAGCCTGTGCATGGATACCTTGTCCTGAGCACTCACAGAAAGAGAGAATGTGCCCAGTTCCCCGTCCCTCTCCACATCCCGCCATTACAGAACTCCTGAGAGAACAAATCTTGCCACCCGCAAGCCAACCTCTGTTTCTATTTGCGTCAGTTAAAAGTTTTTAGTTTTTTAGTAGCTGATATAGCACAGTAGCAGGGGGAAATGCAATATGAACAAGTAACAGTTTCCCTTAGTTGGTAGAGGACCCGCCCAGCACGCACAGAGCCCTGGGTTCGATCCCCAGCACCATATAAAATCAGGCATGGGGGTGCCATGCCTAAAACGCCAGCACTTGGGAGGTGGGATCAGGAGGATTGGATGTCCCAGGTTACTCCCCATAGCCGCAGGGCACATTCTCTCCACCTCCGGATTTTAAAGCATTTCCCTTCAGAAAGTGCCTCTGTGCCTTTTGGCGCAGTGGGTGTAACTGTCCTTTTTTGTCACTGGAGAAGCTGAGGGAGGAACTTATTTCAGATAGGCCTTGGCTGAGTCAAACCTAATCCAGATCCTTGACTCTCCAGCCTGTCCCAGCAGCATGTCCTTACAGCAGGCTGCCCCAGGAACACACAGGCAGGAGCCAAGATGTCCAGCCTGCTGCGTGGGTCCTCAGTCTCCTCCCAACCAGCTGCTGGCCTCCTTGGCTTCCTCAGGGCAGCAGAATCTTGTCAGATTTCACACTGCCTAGGCTCTTACCTCTCTTTTCCTTCCAGTGAGTTTCGAGTCCAAGTCCTCAGTGGCCAGGTTTCCAGTGACCATCAACCAACCAACTGTACCCAAGTTGTATGACCCTGGACCAGGTAAGGCTCTTGTCATTGGGAATCTAGGATTGCATCAGGCTGGGTGAAGTTCAGAGGGTGTGGTGCTGGGAATGACAAGGGCTCCCATAGAGTCATGTATTTGAATGCTTGGTCCCCAGTTGGTGATCGTGTAGTTCATTTTTAAAATGTAATGTATAATTAGGAAATATAGGTTGTTAATGGATAATCATTGATAATAGTAAAGCTTGTAGTCATGTGAGTTAGATTTTCTAGATATATAGAGATTTAGTTGGCTGGCTTACAGTTCAGAGGTTCATTTATTATCCTCATGGTGGGACATGGTGGCACACAGGCAGACATGGTGCTGGAGAGGCAGCTGAGAGTTATACATCTTGTGTAGGCAACAGGAAGTGAATTGAGATACTAGGCGTGGCTTGAGCATACATGAGATCTCAAAGCCCACCCCACAGCCACACACTTTCTCCAGAAAAGCCTCACCTCTCAATAGTGCCACTCCTCATACGCTTATGGGGGCCATTACATTCAAGCCACCGCAGTCATGGGCTCACCTTCTGAAACTGCAAGCCCTCAACTAAATGATTCGTGTGTAAGCTGCCCTGGCCATGGTGTCTCTTCACAGCAATAGAAAAGTACCTAAAGCAGAGGAATCACTTTTTCTCTATGATTCATTTTTAATATTTTTAATTGTGTGTGTGCACACGTGCTCTTGTGTATGGTGCCCACAAAGGCCAGAGGTTGAATCGCCTTAGAGCTGGAGGTGTAGGTGGTTCTGATCCACCTGACGTGGATGCTGGGAACCAAAGTCTGGTCCTTTACAAGAACAGTGCGTGCTCTTCAGAGCTCAGCCCTTTTTTGAGACAAGGTCTCATGTGGCCCAGGGTGATCTCAAACTATGGATATAGTTGAGAGTGAGAATATTACTGAACTTCTGAGCATCCCGCCTCGTTTCCCCAAGGGCTGGAGTCTTGTGCCTGTGCCACCACGCTCACTTACGAGGGATCAGACCCAGAACTTTGGGTGTGTTAGGCAGGCTCTCCACCAACGGAGTCATAGTTTCACCCCTTCCTTCCGTGTTCCAAGCTCGCCTGATCATCCTCTGGACTCACCTTGTTAGTGGTGAGATGACAGGCAATTATAGATTGTGTGTGTGTGTGTGTGTGTGTGTGTGTGTGTGTGTGTGATGCATGCCAGAGTGGGAATATGAAGTTCAGAGGACAATCTCTGGTGTTGTCCTTGCCTTTCACCTTATTTGAGGTAGGGTCTCTTTTTTGGTTTGCTACTGCATATACCAACGTACCTGGCCCTCAACCTTCCAGAGTCTCCTGTCTCCACCTCCCATCTCACCTCAGGAGCACTGGAATTACAGATACGGCTATTGAGCCTAACTTTACATGGACTCTGGGGATTTGAACTCACAAACTCATGTTTGTACAACAGGTGCTTTGTCCACCAAACCATCATTCCAGCCCTGAGTGATTTTTTTTTAAATGCTGAATCTGTAAACATTCATTCTTTTAGTGATTTTGCTCTTTGTTTTGTGAGATTGGGTATTGTTACATAGTCAAGGCTGGGGTGGACCTCGCCGTCCTTTAGTCTCTGCCTCTGAATCCTGGGATTGCAGGTGTGAGTCGGAATTCCTAGTGATTAGTATCTCTGTAGCTTTGGAGCCTGTCCTGGAACTCACTAGCTCTGTGGATCAGACTGGCCTTGAACTCACAGAGATCTGCCTGTCTCTGCCTCCCAAGTGCTGGAATTAAAGGTGTGTGCCACCACCGCCTGGCTGTTTTAGCTCACCTGCATAGACACCTTCTGATTGGTTTGATAAAGAGCTGAATGGCAGACAGCTAGGCAGGAGGGGATAGGCAGGACTTTCTAGGGAAAGGAACTTGGGGGAAGAATCTGAGTAGCGGGAGATTCTCCAGCTGTTTGCAGGGGAAGTTGGATGTACAGGCATGAGGAGACGTAACAAGCCACGTGGCAGAATGTGGGTGAAAAGGAACAGGTTAATTTAAGTTATACTAGCTAGTTGGGAACAAGCCTAAGCTAAGGCCAAGCCTTCATAATTAATAAAAAGTCTCTTTGTCATTATTTGGGAGCTGGTGGTCTAAAGAAAGAACACCATTATATATTATAACATCTTTATTTCCCAGTGCAACTGACAAATTCTGATTAAGCTTGCCCTGTGTACAGAATGCCTGAGGTCCCCAACTCTGACCAGTTGGAGGAGAAACGAAGCCATCAGATGACTGGAGGGTAGCTCAGTAGTTGAATGCTTGCTTAGCATGCATGAGACCCTGGGTTCAATCCCTGAACCAGCAGAAAACAAAACAAAACAAAATCCATCTGAACAGAGCAAATCCAGCGTCAGGTTCCAGCATCCACTTTTACATTTTTCTCCAGAGAGGAAGCTCAGGAACCTGGTGACCATTGCCACCAAGACTTTCCTCCGTCCCCACAAGCTTAAGACTCTGCTGCAGAGTATCCGAAAATATTACCCGGACTTAACTGTGATTGTGGCTGATGACAGCAAGGAGCCCCTGAAGATTCAGGATGACTACGTGGAGTATTACTCCATGCCCTTCGGGAAGGTATGTTCCCCTCACACTGGGTGGACCTAGCTCCCAGAACAGGAGGACCCCAGATTCAGCTGCTTCCATGGTCTTCTCTAGGGAGCAGAGTCCTGTGGGGAGAGGCATCTGGGCTTCTGCTGTTCAGGTGCAGAGGGAAACTGGAGCAATCTCATTTTCCACATCAATGAACTGTTAGTTTATTCCATCTTCATGCTGATGTGGTGTGAAATCCACAGGGCTCCTATGAGTGCCTTACAGGAGCTGACATCTGATTGTGGTGTTGAGGGGTAACAGCAGATTTTGTTCCCTGTGACTGAGCTCAAGCTAGGCTCTCCCCCTCTTTTCCCTCCCATCTTCCCCCAAGGATAGAAAAGGGAAGGATAGCACTGATAGCAGATGCTCCCATACCATCTCGCAGGAGGTAGAAGGGAACTGAGGTGAAAAGGGCTCCAGTCTATATTCCCAGAGGCCTCTGGACCAAAGAGGGACCCCCCACTCTGTCTCAGTCTCTGAATCCAGGAAGTCACTGTCCCGGCTCTTTCGGCTTTTTTTCTTTCTCCGAGGCACCCCTCTGACACAGCAGGTGTCAGCCTTGTCTGAACTATGAATCCCTACTGATTCCAACTTCCCCCATGGTGGGAGGCAGCCTGGCTGGAGGGAATTCAGGAAGTCCCACCCCCAGGTGACAACTGCTGATCCAAACCCATGCCGCCTGCAGGGCTGGTTTGCTGGTAGGAACCTGGCCATCTCACAGGTGACCACTAAATATGTCCTCTGGGTGGATGACGACTTTCTCTTCGACAGCAAGACCAAGATTGAGGTACTGGTGGATGTCCTGGAGAAAACTGAACTGGATGTGGTAAGATCACCATAAAGCAGTAATGAGGAGGGATGGAGGAAGGATAGGAATGTCAGTGTCTGAGGGGATGAGGCAGGAGAGGGGCTCACAGCTAGGCTCCAGAGTGACTGCTGGACCTGGGGGATGGCTCAGCCCTTAAAGGCTAGGCTCACACCAGAAATATAAGAGCGACTACTCGGTGGCTTTCTCTGAGCAAATTTTGTACCCCCCAGAAAAGACCCCCACAACTGTTCTGTTTGTAAAAGTGCATGTTCATGCACCATTTCTGATTCCTTTCTTGGACTGCATGAAGTTTAAGAGAACGGTCTTCTTGTTCAGTCACATTTTGATTTTTTTTTTTAGATTTATTTATTTTTATTTTATGTGTAGAGTCGTTTTGCCTGCATCTATATCTGCGCCCCATAAGCGCACCTGGTACCCACAGAGGCCAGAAAAGGGTGTTGGACCCCCTGGAACTGGAGTTACAGATGGGTAGGAGTGGCCATGTGGGTGCTGGATAGGAACAGAACTCAGGTCCTTTGCAAGAACAAGTGCTTTTAATCTCCAAGCTCTCTCCACCCCCAATACTTGTTTTAAATATAAAAATACAATTGGGCATTGTTTTTTTTTGTTTGTTTGTTTTTGTTTTTCGAGACAGGGTTTCTCTGTGGCTTTGGAGCCTGTCCTGGAACTAGCTCTGTAGACCAGGCTGGTCTCGAACTCACAGAGATCCGCCTGCCTCTGCCTCCCAAGTGCTGGGATTAAAGGCGTGCGCCACCATCGCCCGGCTTGGGCATTGTTGTTAAAGGAGCGGCGGGGCTGCCTGCTAGCTTATGCCCCGAAATAATTACACGGACACTGTATTCTTTTAAACACTGCTTAGCCCATTATATCTAGCCTCTTCTCGGCTAACTCTCGCACCTGGACTATCCCATTTCTAATAATGTGTGAAGCACCCCTAGGTGCCCTTACCGGGAAGATTCTAGCCTACGTCCATCCTGGGTTGGAGCTTCATCGATCGCATCTGCCCAGGAGAGGGGAGCATGGACTCTGAGCTCACTTCCTCTTCCTCCCAGCATTCTGTTCTGTTTACTCCTCCCACCTATATTTTAACCTATGAGGCCAAGAAGTTTATTACTTAACCAATGACCTTCCTCCATCATTTCACCTTTTTCTGTTTAAACAAAAAGGAAGGCTTTAACTTTAACGTAGCAAAATTACACACAACAGTTATCAAGCAATAATTACAGTTACAGGGCGGGCGGTGGTGGCGCACGCCTTTAATCCCAGCACTTGGGAGGCAGAGGCAGGCGGATCTCTGTTGAGTTCAAGACCAGCCTGGTCTACAAGAGCTAGTTCCAGGACAGGTTCCAAAACCACAGAGAAACCCTGTCTCGAAAAAAACCAAAAAAAAAAAAAAATAATTACAGTTACAATATTTATATCTATTTTATCTTTTACCATAACAAAGGAAAACTATAACTATAACTAACCATTCTTCAACTCCATCAAAGACTCCAGAAGGATATAATATTACCTAAGTAAACAAAAACTAAGAAACTTCCAAAACTCTAGAAGTGACAGAGACATCTCGCTGCCTGGACAGTCATCCAAAGTTCTTTTGTACCGCTGGGGCATCCATCTTTGGCCTTCAGGCCCATAGTTTCCAGCAGACATTTCCATGAAGCAGGAAATTTCAAAGTCAGTTCAGTCACTATCTGCTGTGTCCTGCAGAATGTCTTGCAGACTCTTTCATGAATCAGGAACCCCGAAAGATCATCTCATCTTTAGGCAAGTTCAGCAGTCCTCTCTTTGTGGGTTCTTTGTGTCCAGTTTATGCAATAGTCCAGGCAAGAACAGTTTCTTGCCCAAACAGCTATCAAACTCCATAAGGATCCTCTTCGATGCCCATCTTCCTCTTGAAGTAGATTGGTGCTGCCAGGAGCAGAAATGTCTCATTGTCATGAAAAACCCTAAGTTATTAAAACATTTAAAATGCCATATTCTATAATTTTTGAAAGATATGAAGAATGCCTATCTAAAATATATCCATGCACATCTAGAAAATCTAACTAACATGACTACAAACTTGACTATTATAGATGATTATCTATTAACAACCTATATACATTACATTTTTACATGAACTACACAATCACAATATCTTAATCAATATCAGAAACACATATGCATATAATAAAATTGACCTTAAATTTAAATCACTAAAGCAAAATCCATATCAATGCAAATTATTCTTATCTATATCACATCCCCCTTTAAATGTAAAAGAACATTTATAAACAATATTTGGGAATATGGGCGCAGTTATTTCTCTCCAAACTGCTTCCTGCTGAATGGGGGCGTCGTTAATGAGGTCTTTCATGGTATAACCTGTGTGCTAGTTTCATCTCAGTTGGCAGTTGAGCGAAGCAATTTTCTGAAGGTGTTCACAGCAAACCTTCAGGAGGGCGTGGTCCATCATACCATATTGGGATAGAAGCAATCCACAGACTCTCACCCTCTGTGAAAACAAAATAAGAAACTCCTTTCCAAAGCATCATGTCCTTAGATCCAAATTTCAAAGTCAAGGCATTTTCAAAATATCTATGTTGGATTAGTTCAGCAGCATTTATAAACAAATATCTTTTAGCAGCTGTTGCTTCTTCCTCAGCATTCAAACAATTCAAAGAAAGCATAATAGCACACAGTATCAAAATTCTGTTTATTTTCCATCTTTGTATGGCTTTATTTTAACTCCATTTTGTTTTATTTTTACTTTTATTTTATATTCTCTGTATATCTTTGTCCTGGAATAACTCTGTAGACCAGGCTGTCCTTGAACTCTCAGAGATCCGCCTGTCTCTACCTCCCAGGCCTTGGGATTAAAGGTGTAAACTATTACACCTTGAACTCACAGAGATCTGTTTGTCTCTGCCTTCTAGGCACTGGGATTAAAGGCGTGTGCTACCACACCTTGAAGTCACAGAGGTCAATCTCCCTCTGCCTCCCAAGTGTTGGGATTAAAGGTGTGTACTACCTCACCCAACTACTCTCTTTCTTCCTTTTTTTACTTTTAAGAACCTTAACTTTTAGCTTGCATACATTTTTAACACACTGTAAATCATTTAGAAATTTTCTTTGTCTTTGAATCTCTTTTTACTGTATCTCTCTCTCTTTTTCTGACCACATGAGCCTTTAAATTACTGAGCAATATGGGTAGGATTAAAGCCATGGCTTTGCCAGCTAGATCCAGTCCATTCCTTAGCTTTCTGCTTCTTCTACCCATGCTTCAGTGCCATAATCAAATGTATCAACATTCAGTGTATGCAAGACCCATTCTTCCAAGGGCGCTGATCTGAGCTTTAAAGGCCCCAAAATCCTTTTGCATTCCACATTTGCATTTTCATAAGCCAAAGACTCAATCATTATACGTCTTGCTTCTGGGTCAGATATCCCTATTTGTACAGCCTTAGTTAGTCTTTGTAAAAAGTCACTAAAGGGTTCTCTCTGACCCTGTTTAACTCTGACAGATGATTCCATTCTCTGTCCTGGGTCTTGTACCCTGTCCCAAGCCCTTAAGGCTGCTGTAGTACACATGGAGAGTGTGTTTTCATCAAAATTAGCTTGTTCCTGAGGGTCGGAAAAGAGCCCTTCACCTAGAATTTTATCTAAGGAAATGTCAATTCCCTTCGCTTTTTCCTGCTGTTCTAAAAGTCTAGCCTCTTGCCTGAATAAGCATTTCCATTTCAATTGCGGTCCACTCTCAAGTACTGCAGAGCTCAGCTGGTGCCAGTCCGAGGGGGTTGCTCTGCTTGTCGTGGCCCAAGATTTTAGCATCTCTTTAACAAAAGAGGCGTGCATCCCAAAAGTCATGACAGCCTGTTTAATTTCTTTGAGATCATTCATACGGACAGGCTCCCATGTATCTTCCTCAAGTACCGCTTTCTCAAGTACCACAGGCGCCAATTCCTCAATCTTTTCAATTCTATTCACCATTGCCTTCTGCAATGTCTGAATCTCCTGTCCAGAATTATGTTCCAAAGCCTTCATTGAGGATTCTAAAGTATGAAATTTGTCCATTAGAGATAACATCTCATCTTTGGACATAATTTTTATGGCATAAACCGTGCCTTCTTGTATTGACAATCTTTCCGCCAATCTGTCATAAGCTTTAGACAAAATCTGATTGTCACATTCAGCAGTTTTGATTCTCTCAGTTAATGTTTCAGTTCCTACAGAAAGGGACTGAAGCTTACGATCCAAATCAGCTGTTCCCTCTTCCATAGTAATGAATTTCTCCTTAATATCAGCCACTAATGTTTCAGTTCCTACAGAAAGGGACTGAAGCTTACGATCCAAATCAGCTATTCCTTCTTCCATAGTAATGAATTTCTCCTTAATATTAGCCACTAATGTTTCAGTTCCTACAGAAAGGGACTGAAGCTTACGATCCAAATCAGCTGTTCCCTCTTCCATAGTAATGAATTTCTCCTTAACATCAGCCTGTACCTTTTCTAAATTTTGCTCAGTTGATCAAGTCATGTTAAACAAAGATCTGTTCTCTTCCTGGAGAACTTCAAACTGAATCTTGAGAAGATTGTTGTCATTCTCAATTGTTTTTAAGCGTTCAACCTCTGCCTTAAGAATCCTGGATTCCTCTCGTAAAGACTTTATCATATTTCTATTATCAAACCATCTAGTGCCAAGGAAAACTACGAATCCCAGAAGGATCCATAGATGTGGGGTGATAGGCACCTCTTGTAAAATCTCCCACATGGTACAATTAAAAAAACTATTAAAGTCTTGAATGGTAACGTGTTCAGACATTTTATTTATAAAAGAAAAATTTTTTACCTGCAATGACCGGTTCCTGCCAGTGGTGGTCTCTCTGGTTTTGAAGCCTGTCCTGGAACTAGCTCTTGTAGACCAGGCTGGCCTCAAACTCCCAGAGATCTGTCTGTTTCTGCCTCCCGAGTGCTGGGATTAAAGGCGTGTGCCACCACCGCCCGGCTAAGTCACTTTGTATCAGACCAAATCTGACGCTGTGGCGGCTTTTGTTACAAAACCGCAGGTACTTGAGCTTCTGCTAATTCAGGCAGTGGGATTCCACTGCAAACTTAGCCAAGGCAGGCAGGGAGGGGTTAATTGCTCGGCAAGCAGGTGGGGCAGAATGGGCCTGTGTGGCCGAGTGTATCTCGGACTCGGCACTGGGGCCCCAGTCACGAACTAAAAAACAGCACCCGGGAGCGTGCTGTGTTAGCTAGCAGGCTACGCGCTTGAGTTGGGGGCAAAATAGACCGACATTGGACGCCAAAATGTACCGGCGTAAATGAATGCAGACAGATTGTAAAAATATATACAGCTTTAATGGGGAAATAGACTTACAGAACCACCGTTCCAGTGGAGACCAGGAAAGCAGAAGTGTCGGCTGGGAGCACGCCCGCCAGATTTATAGGTAAACATTAGCCCGAGGCGAACACGCCCCCTAAGGGGTGGGACTTATCCCTACAGGGCATGGTAGTGCACACCTTTAATCCCAACACTGGGGAGGCAGAGGTAGGAGGATCTCTGTGAGTTCGAGACCAGCCGCATCTACAGAGTAAGACCCTATCTCAAAGACAACAACAATAAACCCTTAATAAAAATATTAGCTCTGGCCGGGCGATGGTGGTGCACGCCTTTAATCCCAGCACTCGGGAGGCAGAGGCAGGCGGGTCTCTGTGAGTTCGAGACCAGCCTGGTCTACAGAGCCAGTTCCAGGACAGGCTCCAAAGCCACAGAGAAACCCTGTCTCGAAAAAAACAATATATAATATATATATATATATATATATATATATATATATATATATATATATAAGCTCTGTGTGATGGTGCATGCCTGTGATCCCCTTGGGAGGTGGAAGCAGGATGAGGGGAGTTGACAGCCAGCCTCAGCTACAAAGCGTGTGTGTGTGTGTGTGTGTGTGTGTGTGTGTGTGTGCATGCCTGCATGTGGAGATGGGAATTCAATGATCCAAACGACCCAGCAGCAGTGTGAGAAGAGCTGTGGTCACATGCAGAGCCACTGAAGGTCCCATAGAGTACACCTTCTATTCTATTGGAGGGAGCCCTTCCTAGAAGGATGGTTCCTGACCCTGCTCAGACCCCAGTTTTCTGTTTGCTGACTAGGTGGGCGGCAGTGTGCAGGGAAACACGTTCCAGTTCAGGCTGTTGTTGGAGCAGAGTGAGAATGGGGACTGTCTTCACCAGAGGCAGGGGGATTTCCATGCCCTTGATGGCTTCCCCAAATGCGTGGTGACCAGCGGCGTTGTAAACTTCTTCTTGGCTCACACGGAACAACTCCGAAGAGTTGGTTTTGATCCCCGTCTGCAACGAGTGGCTCACTCAGGTGGGAGGCTTGGAAGGGGTGATGGGGTTCTCCTGGGAAAGCCCTTCTCGCTACCCCAGGGATCTCCTTCCCCTTTCGCCCCAGACTATGGAACTCACGGTCTCTTGCCTCCCTCACCTCTCAGGGTCTCCTCTAGGCTGCCTCTGCCCATTTGAGACACCCCACTTCCTTTTCCCCAAGGCTGTCCTTTACTTTTCCTGACCCTGCCTCCCATTCTTCTCTCAGAAAGTCTTTGTCACCTAAAACTGCACCTGGTGACTGCACCCTCCCTTCCCCCCTTCCACTCCAGAGCCCACAGGACCATTTAATGGAACCCAGTGGTACCTCTGCCCACACTCCTAATTGAGAAACCAGGTTATCTGTTTCTTCTAACCCCGGGACTCCCAGGAGCCGGGTGTGTGGCTCCACACGGTGCCCAGCTTCCCTATGGTTAGGAACCAGGTGTCCTCCTCAAGTGTGGGTGGGAAAGCCTGGCTGGCTGACTGCAGCTCCCTTTGTCTCCCGGTCCTCCTCTCTTGGCAGAGTTCTTCATTGATGGGCTGGGGAGCCTGTTGGTGGGCTCGTGCCCAGAGGTGACTGTACAGCATCAGTCACGGTCACCGGAAAAGGATCCAGAGATGGCGGCCATGGAGGAGTCTTACAGCAAATACCGGGTCAACACCAACGCGCAGGTCCAGTTCAAGCTCGCTCTCCACTACTTCAAGAACCATCTTCAGTGTTCCACTTAAAGACGCAAGGAACCAGATATTTAATAAACAAAATGGATTGGCTGTGGGCAACAAAAATTGTAGGACTGGCCCATAAGGACACCAAAGAGAGCTGGAGTGAGGAGATATGGATAGCTCAGTCATTCAGTTCAGAGGCATTAGAAATGGGTCTTCCCTGGTCAGGGCAGGGGAGATGACCTAACGGTTAATGAGCACGGGATGCCCTCCCTTGCATGAAGTGCCTGCACAGAGAACCACTCACTTCACTCATCTGAGCCTCGTGATGAGGGAGATGTTGATTGGTACCCCCCATCAAGGGATGCTAGAGGCATCGGGATGGCTCAGTGGGTGGAGTACTTGCTGCTGAGACCGACAACCTGAGTTTGATTCCTTGAGACCCACATGGCGGAAGGGGAGAAATGACTCTGACATGATTGTCCACTGACCTCCATGGTCATGTGACCCACCCCCTTCCCACATACCATAAATAAATGTAAAAATAAAAGTGGATAACAGCATACACCTTTAATGACAGCACTCGGGGTTGAGTTTGTATCCGTGACTCCTGTTACCACGAAGGGTTGTATGGATGTCTAGGGTCTGGACAGCCACCTGAGACCATGTTGATGTTCAAGGGCCTGTGTTGTCACAGGGGCCATGGCAACATCTGGGCCCAAGTTACTGGGGCAGCTGGTGTGTCTGTGATGGTGTCCATGGCCCTTGTTCCCACAGGGGGTTATAGGAACCATGCGTGTCAAAATCCAAGGGCCAGGTTGAGCTGGCGCTGCCCCTCACTGACCCTGCAGAAGAACTGACCTGCCCCTCCCTGGACACTGCAGCAGGAGGGTTGGCCCTGCCCCACCCCTCATCATGTGCTGACCAGGATAACGTAGGCCTAGGAGAGCTGGTCATGCCCTTTGCCTGAGGTGGGCAGTCCCAGAGGCCCAGGCCAACCTGCTCAGCTATCATCCAGACCTACCCTAAGATCCCATCTATGGCGTGAAGGGACTGGTCCTGTGGAATCGCCATGACTTGGGGGCAACAGCAGAATATCCATGAGGAGTTCCAGTGAGGGTCCAGTGATGAGGGTGTGCCAGAGGCAACGAATATTTTGTGGGTGGGGCTGACTGGACAAAAGGGTATATGCTGCCTGACACACCGAAGCACCCACTGGGATGAATGAAGATGTGTTGGAAAGAGGAGGAGCCATGTAGGCTTTCATGTTTTGTTTTTAATTCGTCTGGAGGGGTTCTGAGGGAGTGTTGTCGGGTGGGGGAAGGCTATGGAGGGATGAGGAGGTAAATGGGATTAGGGTGCATGATATGAAATTTCCAAAGAATCAATAAAAACATTGTTCTGTATATATAGAGAAAACTGATCTGAAAAGTTCTTTAGAAATCAGCCGTAAAGGCAGACACAGCCACACACTCGCATCACCCCATGCTCAGGTGAAACTTAACCTGAGCCATTTCTGGTACATTCCTATGTCAGATGAAAACAAAATTCAGCTAACACGATGGTGGGCATCGCTCCATAGACAAAGGAACTTTACTACACTGTCATTGTGCTCTGGCCTTTGGTTTCAGAATGCTAAGTTGCAATCATTTAATTTTTCAAAAAGTTGAATTAAAATAATGTTATACAAAGCCAGGTGTTTTGGTGCACAGTTGTAATCCCAGAACTCAAGAGGGGGAGGTAAGAGGCTTAAGGCCAGCCTGGGCTATGTGAAAGCCTGTCTTTGAATGAATGAGTGAATGAATGAATGAATAGGGGGCTAGAGAGATAGCTCAGTGCTTAAGAGTGATTCCTGCTCTTGCAGAGGACCTCGGTTTGGTTCCCAGCACCACGTGAATACTCACGACTGTCTGTAACTCAAGTAACTCCAGTTCCAGGGGATTGGACACCTCTTCTGCACACACATGGGGCACATGCATACACTCGGGCACACGTACGCACACAAGACAAAAAGAACTTAAATAAGTGATTGGATGACTAAACGCACAGATGTCAACCAAAGTTATTCGGATCTTATGTTGTTGAGATGGCCTGGCCTAGAACTCACTCTGTAGGTCATGGCAATCCTTCTGCCTCCACCTGTCAGTGCTGCAGCATCAGGTGGGAGGCACCATTTCTGACTTGATTTTAAGCTTTGAAACCTTGACTTTAAAATATGATACTTGTTTATTATAATTTCTGTATTTTTATTTTAATGGAATATTAAAACAAATGTGAAATATTATTGAATATTCTAGAATAAAAATAACTTCTAAATCATGAAGTATAATGCTAATTTTAAAATTTACATTTACTCTAATTTATCCTTGAGTCAAATTTTCGACACTCTGAACACACTTTTTTTTTTTTTTACTTCCTGAGGTGATTATTGCTCAGGGTTGGTCCATAGAAAACCAAACATCAAAGGGGAGGATGAAAGGGGCAAGGGGCAGGGGCAGGGGGTGGGATACACCCTGGTGCTGTTTTTTTTTTTTTTTCGAGACAGGGTTTCTCTGTGGCTTTGGAGCCTGTCCTGGAACTAGCTCTGTAGACCACAGAGATCCGCCTGCCTCTGCCTCCCGAGTGCTGGGGTTAAAGGCATGCGCCACCATTGCCCGGCCTGGTGCTGGCTTTTAATCCCAGCCTTGAATTTACAGATTACCAGCTAGGTGAATAGAGTGAGCACTTTTTTTTTCCCCCCAAACAAAACCAAAACAGAAACTGGACTGGGGAAATGGGAAGCTAAAGTGTTTACTACCCAAGCATGGGAATTTGAGATTACCAGCATGCAAAGCAAGGCATGGCTGGTGGTCTGCAACCCCAGGCAAGCTCGCAGCAACTGTAACAGCCTCCATTTTGATGGGTTATCACCGGCATGCTCAAATCTCTTCTTCAAGATCTAGAACCATCTCTCCAGGAGAGAGAAACAGTCAAGACTGCGACAAGCCCCAACATTGTACAGTAATTGCTCAGCCATCTTTTCAAGAGCAACTTATCAGAAACAAGGGATCTGGTAAGGGCTAAACCACAACTGCTTTGTGAAGAAAGTGGCTGTCCTTTGCTGTACATTTTCACTGTAGCTAACTCCCTTTCTGTTACATATTTGGGAATAAATTCCCCAGTTCAGAACAGTTTTCCACTGCCAGGCCTTCATTCCTCTCTCCTGGGTAAGCACAGAGATCTGCCTTCCTGCAACTATCTTTTTCAGCTGGCATTTGGTCGGTGCTTAGGGTCCAGGCATAGAGCATCTCATTTAAGATATTCACAGATCTCCAAGGAGGCAGAGTTACTACCTGCCCAAGCTGCTGCTCTGGTTTTACCCCACGACGCCCACAATCAGAACAATCAGAATGGCTGATAGCAGCAAACCCTGGAGCTGATAATTAGAGGCCTGGGTTCCTTCTTTGTTTCTACTGCCTAAAGCAAAACTCCAGACCTAGGCCCATAGAAACTGCAGCACCTGGCTACCTGCTATCTGATCAAGAGCCATCAGCTTCTCCCTGACTGTTTAAGTAGATTGCCTGGTTACCTAGTAGCTTCTGTGTATGCTGGGGAAAAAGATGTGGAATGCTGATTTAAACAATCCATGCCCTATTCATAATTTTACTGAAAATAAACATTTTAGCTCTTTACTACCACCTAAAAATGTACCATGGCACATTAACCTTCCCCTCTAGAATTCCCTGATGATTGTTAATTCCTTTTTCCTTCTTTTTTCTTCTCTCTCTCTCTTGAGATAGGGTTTCATTGTTTAGTTCTGTCTATTCTGGAACTTGCTTTGTAGACCAGGCTGTCCTGTGTGAGTCAGAAACCTTTGGTGGGGGGCAGGGATCAGGTCTCTATGTAGCCCTAGCTGTCCTGGAACTCACAGAGATCATCCTGCCAGTGCTCCCAGAGAACTGAGATTAAAGGCCTGCGCCACCATGTCCAGCTCATAGGGCCTTTGTAAAAACAAAATAAGCAGGAAAACTGAGGTCCAGAATGCCTGGGGTTCAGGCTCAACCTTGAAGGAAGGTAACCCCTAAAAGGCTCAAAGTAGGATTGATTTATTTCTCAAAAAGGACAGTCTTTGGTGTTTCTTCTGATAATATTCAAGAGTTAAAACTTTTTTCCATTTACTTATTTTTTAAAGACAGGGCTTCTCTGTGTAGCCTTGGCTGCCCTGAAACTGCCCCTGTAGACCAGGCTGGCCTCCAATTCAGAGATCTGCCTGTCTCTGCCTCCCAAGTGCTAGGATTAAAGGCGTGTGCCACCACCACCCAGCTAGAAAAGTTCTTATGCATTCACTCCTCAGAGACAAGCTGTCAAACTGTCACCAAAAGAGCTTTTTGGACTTGGGCTAACCATGATCTTGATGACATGCAGGGGTAAAGAAAACCATACATTATATCGAAGAGGTACTTAGCAGGGTAGTGGATAACTCACAGCACTACCAGTGGGTGGACAAAACAGTCACAGGAAGGTCGTCAAGACGCCAGCAAGGCCAGTTTGCTCGGCATGTCACTTGGGGAGCCAGTGGACACAGCATGGTGCCTTACTGCTCTGAGGTCCATGTCTGTCACGGACACTGCCAGAATTGGATCCAATTCTAAAGTCTCTGCTTTGTGTGTCTGTCTCTGGATCCTAAGTCCATCTGGCCAAGCTAAAGACAGACAGATGGACAGACAGACAGACACATCCTGAGCCTGAAGAATAAGTGCATCTGCCTTGGGGTACAGTTCAGCTGTCACTGACTTACAAAACACTGGATTCCTTAAGAAAGTAAGACATAGCCGGGCGGTGGTGGTGCAAGCCTTTAATCCCAGCACTCGGGAGGCAGAGGCAGGCGGATCTCTGTGAGTTCGAGGCCAGCCTGGTCTACAAGAGCTAGTTCCAGGACAGGAACCAAAAAGCTACAGAGAAACCCTGTCTCGAAAAACGCCCCCCCCCCAAAAAAAGACATAAAAAATAAATAAATAAAAAGAAAATAAGGCATGCCCATTATAGTGTGAATAAATCTGAAATTAACTAAAATCCAAAAAAGGAGGGTACACGTGTGAGGGATTTTTGCTAAATCTGAAGTAGGAAGGTCCACTTCTAATCCAGGTCTTGATGTGTGAAGACGCGCCTTTAATCCGGACCACACCTTCTGCTGGAAGCTTCTGCTCACTAAAGCTTACCTGGCTACAGGTCCTGCGGAGTGCCAGATCTGGCACCATTCCCCAGGAGTTCAGCTAGTGACCTGGTGGCAGGTGGACTACATTGGATCACACGTACCAGAGCAGATACTTACTTGGTTATGGGTTTGCCTTTCCTGCATGCAATGCTTCTGTCAACACCACCATGCATGACTTACAGAGTGCCTTATCCACGGTCATGGTATTCCACACAGTATTGCTTCTGACCAATGAACTCATTTCACGGCCAGCCGTTGTTGGAGTAGCTGCACCGAAGCCTCAAGGCAGTCTATAAATCCCCTTTACATACATTATATACGTTGTTGGTCTAGAGGACCCTGACTGATTGCACTAGTGTGTAACTCTTCTGTTTACACATACATGGATGGCATCTTATGTATTTGTTTCGCTTGCCTTTTGTCTCAATACAAGTTAGCAGTGTGTGTGTGTGTGTGTGTCCATCAAGGCCAGCAGAGTAATAATTCACAGGAGGCAAGAAGGTAGTACAATTTAACACAACTCAGTAACCAGTTCAAGCTTTGAGAGTCTGACACCAAGGAGTTTATTTTAGGCACGTTTAAGCACAGCACAGTTTGGTGAAAACTTTCCTGGTAATAATTAAGTCAATCCTAGGTGCACAATTAACTCAAAAATGCGTGCACAACAAAGTTTAAGACACAACTACACTGAAACTCTTTGTAAAGTACATGTGACATCTTCCATAAAGATAGTTTCTGTAGCGGTGAAGGTCCTTAATCCCAGCACTTGGGAGGCAGCCTGGTCTACGGCCCGAGTTCCAGGACAACCAGGGCTGTTACACAGACAAACCCTGTCTTGAAAAAACAAAAACAACAAAACTTGTTTCTATAGATTGAGAAAAACACACTAATGATAAAGGTGACCAGGCTGTTAACTTCGTCCATTCCCAGCCTTCTAGGTGGAAATAGGTTATACATCACTCTCATTGAAGAGATGAACAACCCTGTGTGTTTAACATTGCTGGTTCCTTAGTGCTTATCAGTGAGAACACGGAGTTATTTCTTAAACTCTTGTGGAGCACTTACGAAATATCCATTGTTTATTTTGTCAATTCTCACTGTATTATAATAAACAATATATAGTCAAGAATCTCCTTGAACGCACCTCCTGGTACTGATGGATGCCCGGTAGGATAACGTCCGGATGGTGAAATTGCTGAGTCAAATTACGCGTAAACTACTGCTCGACTGACCTGCAGAAACACATTTCGAGTCAGTGAAACGCGAGACAGCTCGGAGAAGTGTCTTTTTTGGGGGTGTCTGTTGTTAAAGAGCCGACTGGAGGTCTTTCGAAGGATCCAAATGCTGGAAGGTTCGGCAGCCCGGGCTTTAGAAGCGCACGCGGAAGTGCAGGGCTGGAAGCGCCCCGGCCACCCTACAGATGCTAACTTGCCGCGCACCGAGCGCCGGCTGCGGCCCCCAGCTTGGGGTCCCCTCCGGTAGCCCCGGTTCAGCCTCCCAGGTGCGTCCGGGGTTTGAACGGCCGTGCCACCACGTGCCAGTACGCCTCCTTCCCCGCTGGGCCAAAGCGTCCTCGCCACACCGCCTCCTAAAAGAAACACATTAAACAACGCAGGCTGCGTGAGCCGAGCCTCCTGCCCGGAGTCCGGGGCGCCTGCTTTCTCCAGACTCGCTCCAACCCGACAACTAGCCGCCCCCCAGGACTTGCGGGCGAGGGCCGGGACCCTCGAGGAGCACCGGAAGCAGTGACGCCTCGGGGCCCAGGAACGTTTGGAACTCGCAGGGACACCGGAATCTCGGTGGTTCCGCGTTGGCCCGCCATGGTGGCCTTGTGCCAGGGGCCCAAATCAACTGTAGCGAAGCTTAGGAAAGGTTGCCCAACGTCCTGTGGCTTGAGAAGGCTGCCGGGCGCCTAAAGCCGCCAGCAGGTCCCATGGTGTAATGGTTAGCACTCTGGACTTTGAATCCAGCGATCCGAGTTCAAATCTCGGTGGGACCTCACTGCACATCATTTTTGGCCTTAGAATCCCTGTTTTGGGGCCTGCAGGAAATAGCGACCTGCTCGAGGCTTGACGTGGGACGCACTGACCTGCAGGACGGCCGCCCAGCTTCCCTCCCCGGGTTCAACACGCTTACATTTCAAGAGCAGCCTGGGCCGGGTGGCACTGCGCACGCGCGCCGAGTCAGGCGGAAAAGTAAATGTGTTGATGGAAGACTGAACAGAACTTTACCCTGAAGGGAAAACCGAAAGCACCCGAAGGCTCCCGAGGCGTTCCTGGCGGGGTACCGCCTACTCGGTGCGCCAGGAGGCCCCGCCCCCTGTTCTCTTATTGGCTACTGTGCAGAACGCGCGGCGGGATTGCTTTGTGAGCTGCGAATGAAGTGGCCGGAAAGGGCTAGGGGGCGGGCAAATGATTCCAGGGGACCTCTGATTGGCCACAAGCGAGTGGTACCCGGAGGTTTGTGTTTTTGGGGTCAGAGACCCTAGCGAGGTTCGTTTTTCAATTAGATAATTCGTCAGGACCGTTTCTCACCGTCCACGGGGTGTTTTTCCAAGCGCAGAATAAGAATTCTGCAGCAGCGCGCGCGTGTGCGTGGGACCTGCGGGAAAAGGCGTACCTCTCCAACAGGGTGGAAGATACGTGCATGGGTTGTTATCTTCTTTGGATTCATACCTGGATTTCGAGATGTTTTTCCCTGTAGGGTAAGTGACGAGGGAGCCTGCTGACGCATTATAGTCTCCCTACAAAGTGATTGGCATGGTGGCTATAAGTTCCCACCCTTGGGAGGATGCCATAGAAACAAAAAGAAGCCTCGTTTGGCTTTCCTATTAATTCTCAGTACGCCTTTTCCCGACCCGACCCACGCACTCTTTAAGACGCCTGAATGGATCAGTTTGAATGAGCCATCCCAGCCTCAAAAAATATCTAGGCGCGCCCACAGAGAAACCCTGTCTCGAAAAACAAAAACAAACAAACAAAAAAAAATATCTAGGCGCGAGAAGGACGATTTGTGCCACCAGAGAATAAACCTGCTTGTCAACTGTACACTGAAGAAATACATATAACAAAGGTGTTACCAAAAGGAAATTAAATAATAATGATAATAATTGGTACAGCAGAGTAGGGAAAAGGACCTACTTTACATTGGCCATTGTGTTTCTATGGAAAAATACAAAATCGGATTCCTCTCTAATGTACACCAAGCGCAGCCGTAAATCTCACGTGAATTGTTGACCTGAAAGCGAAGAAGGCAGTGAAGCCTTGGGTGACAACATAGGGGAATTCGTACATCTCTCAGTTCAAACAAAGCCTTAATTAAAGGCACAAGAGTGTTATACTTCCCAAGATGAGCGTGCTACTCTGTGCCCTTATCAGAAGATACCAGTAAGAAAAGGACAGGCTGGGTGTTTTGCTCAGGGGTAAAGTATGCAAGGCACTCAATGGTCTGGCATAATGAGAGAAAAAAGGTAGCCACAGAATAGGGATTTGTGTGTGTAATGCGTAAATGATAAATCTAAATAACTAAGTATAAATTAGAAAAACCTGTAAGTCCCAGCACTTGGGAGGCAGAGGCAGGTGGATCTCTGTGAGTTCGAGACCAGCCTGGTCTACAAGAGCTAATTCCAGGACAGGCTCCAAAACCACAGAGAAACCCTGTCTCGAAAAACCAAAAAAAAAAAAAAGAAAAACCTGTAAGAAAACTGCCTGCAGAAAAACAGCAAAACCATGGGCTAGCGAGATGGCTCAGCCAGAAAAGGGTTTGTATGCAACAGTGAGGACCTGAGTTCTTCCCCGAAATCCACGTCACAAGATGGACCCAGTGGCACTTGTTTATAGTCCCCGTGCTGGGGACGCAGAGATAGGAGGGTCTCTGGGGCTTGCTGGCCAGCCAATAAGAGAACCCGTGCAAGATGCCTGAGGAACTGCCCGAGACTAGTTTACATCTGGTTGTCATACAAAGACCTGGATAAACGCATTGATATTGGTTAGATATATCTGGGTGATCAATTTGAATGTTCTAAGCCTCTTTGGTAAAAGAATAACAGTGGTGCCTTTTGTCTGTCAGTGTTTTGAGAATCCGTAAAACAAACAGGAAAACCCTAAGGAGGTATGTTGTCACCTGCCTGTAATCCCAGTACTGGAAAGGTAGGAACAGCAGGATCAGAAGTTCAAGGTCATCCCAAGCTACTCAGCAAGGTCGAGGACTGCGTGGACTTCATGATGTTCTGTCAGAGAAAGAACGAGGCCGGTGAGATGGCTCGTGAGTGGAGTCATTTACCGTACGGGCCTGGTGACCTGAGTTCTACCCTGGAACTGGCATACAGAGGAAAGAGAACTGACTCACAGAGGTTGACCTCTGACCTCCACACACACCTTGACACACATTCACCTCCACCCAACTCATCAGGAACGCACGGACGGACGCCCATGATGTGAGAGAGCGAGGGGAGAGGGAGAAGCAGTTCCTTGTCTCTATCTGCTCTTCTGCTATATTCAATAATGCTAACTTCTAAAAAGACAACCAAGGATAGCAAAGTTCTAGAAGCTCAAGTACTAGTGCAAGGAGGGAAAACTTAGAGAACACAGACAGCTATTTAGTGTGTTTGCCTATGCCTTTCTAGTCTGGCTTGTGACAGAGGCAGAGAATGAGAATTTATGGGTGGAAGTGGGGGGGGGGGGCAATTAGGAAAAACATTTAGCAATTGGTGCTGTCCATCAACGGGACTTCTGGTGCCTGGAGATGGTCCAGGGCACTTAGAGACCTTGCCTGCTGTGGTCTCAAGAGGAGCTGGGGCTATGCACAGAGTCAGGCTTTCTCGGCTTCCATCCACAGTGAATCCTCACTTCTAGCTCAGAGCTTTGCTGGCCAGGAGCTTTCAAATCTGGGTTTCCAGGGGTCCCCTCCATCCTGCTTTTTTGTTTGTTTGTTTTTTCATTGCTACTAAGACTCTCAGTGAGATAACATCTTTTGCCTCACAAACTAGTACACATACACACACACACATACACAGTGTGTGTACACCACCGAAATATAATTTAAAAACATAGTCTGAGCTGAGTAGTGGTGACACACGCCTTTAATCCCAGCACTTGGGAGGCAGAAGCAGGAGGATTTCTGTGACTTCAAGGCTAGCCTGGTTTATGCAGGGAAACCCTGTCTCAAAAAATCAAAAAAGAAAGAAAAAGAAATGTTGTGAGGTGTTTGATTACACTACGTAAGAATTGTCATTGTGATCGGCCTAGTAAAAAACTGGACGGCCAGTAGTTAGAAAGGATTTGGGGGAACTGGGCGGTGGTGGCGCATGCCTTTAATCCCAGCACTCGGGAGGCAGAGGCAGGCGGATCTCTGTGAGTTCGAGACCAGCCTGTCTACAAGAGCTAGTTCCAGGACAGGCTCCAAAACCACAGAGAAACCCTGTCTCGAAAAACCAAAAAAAAAAAAAAGAAAGAAAGGATTTGGGGGGCAGAGAGGACCCTGGGAAGAAGGGAGGAATCTTGAGGAGTTGTCAACCCGGTACAGAAGAGCAAGACATGCAGGAGGAGAGGTAACAGCCATGATCCTTGTGGCACAGATAGATGAATAGAAATGGGTTCATTTAAGCTATAAGAGCTCGTTAGAAACAAATCTAAGCTGTAGGCCAGTCTTTCATAATTAATAAGAAGTCTAGTGTGCAGGGCAGTGGTGGTCTACACCTTTAATCTCAGCACTCAGGAAGCAGAGACAGGTGGATCTCTGTGAGTTTAAAGCCAGCTTGGTCTACAGAGTTAGTTCCAGGACAGGTTCCAAAGCTACACAGAGAAACCCTGTCTCAAAAAACAAAACAAAGCAAACAAACAAAAAGAATTCTATGTGTGGTTATTTGGGACCTGGACTGGAAAGATGGCTCACTGGTTAAGAGGACCCGTTCCTCTTTCAGGGGATCTGGGTTCTATTCCCAGCACCCACATCAATGCCCTCTTCTGACCACCGAGGTGCACAGGCATGCGTGCAGGAAAAACATTCATACATAAGACAAAATGAGTAAATCTAATTTAAAGAGCTAGAATTGACCCAGGGGAAACCTCTTTTCTCAAAGGAGTCTGAGAAGTCCCTTCTCAAGATTTTCTTCCCAATTAGAGAGAGAGAGAAAGAGAGAGAGAGAGAGAGAGAGAGAGAGAGAGAAGGAGGGAGGGAGGGAGGGAGGGAGGGAGGGAGGGAGGGAGGGAGAGAGAGAGAGAAAGAGACTTTCTGGAAGGTCCTACAGACTACCTTCTGGAGCATGTTGTCCCCTTGAGTCACCAGCAGAGGGCAGCACCCTGGCACCAGTAAAGTTGCTTTTGGAGCCTCCCTTCCCAAGGCAGTCCCTTGGACCTGTCTTGGTTTCCATTTGCAGATAAGATAATGTGTGTGCAACTCTTACCACATTGTCTGGCACACAGTAAACCTGTGAACTGCAGAACACAGACTCCTTTCACACTGTGTGCCAGCATCCTCTGAGGTCAATGAGATAAAGCGAGCCTTGACCCCTGCCCGCCAGGAGTCTGAAATCCTTGAGAGAGGAGAAAACAAACAAACAAAAAAACCCAAAACCATTTCATTTAATTGGAGCTGGAGAAACATCGGTTAAGAGGGTTTGCTGCTCTTGCAGAGGACCCAGGTTCTATTCCCAGCACCCCCAAAGAAACTAACAACCCTCTATTGTAACTTCAGTTCCAGAGAATTCAATACCCTCTTCTGGCCTCCACAGGCGACAGACACTGAACACAGTGCATATAAGCAAGACATTTATTTACACATGTAAAATTAAAAGAAAAAAAACCCCACCTCACTGTATTATTATTTTGTGGGGGCAAGCTGTGTGCGTGCATGCGCAAGGGTGGGGACATGCCGTGTGCGTGCACGCGCAAGGAGCGCTGGCAGAGGTTAGAGGACAGCTTTCCCGTGTCACTTCTCTCCTTCCACCCTGAGTTTGGGGGATTAACTTGGGTAATCAGGCCTGTGCAGCAAGCACTTTAACCTGCTGAATCACCTCACAGGTCGGGACTGAAATTTTGATGGAAGTATTAAAATTGAACCCCTAATCCTGATACGTGGAAGGCTGAGGCAGGAGGACAGTGAGTTAGAGACCAGTCTAGGCTATATAACAAGTTTCAGAACAACTTGGGATAAGTACTGACAAAGCTGGCTCAAATTCTAAACAAGACA